CAGTGCCCGCGCCCGCATGCGTCACCCACACCCATTTCGGCACACCCCTCACACGTTTCGTGGCTCCATAGGGAGCTCCACCGAAGGCCCCAGTGCCCGCGCCCGCATGCGTCACCCACACCCATTTCGGCACACCCCTCACACGTTTCGTGGCTCCATAGGGAGCTCCACCGAAGGCCCCAGTGCCCGCGCCCGCATGCGTCAGCCACACCCATTTCGGCACACCCCTCACACGTTTCGTGGCCCCATAGGGAGCTCCGCCGAAGGCCCCAGTGCCCGCGCCCGCATGCGTCACCACACCCATTTCGGCACACCCCTCACACGTTTCGTGGCTGCATAGGGAGCTCCACCGAAGGCCCCAGTGCCCGCGCCCGCATGCGTCACCCACACCCATTTCGGCACACCCCTCACACGTTTCGTGGCTCCATAGGGAGCTCCACCGAAGGCCCCAGTGCCCGCGCCCACATGCGTCACCCACACCCATTTCGGCACACCCCTCACACGTTTCGTGGCTCCATAGGGAGCTCCACCGAAGGCCCCAGTGCCCGCGCCCGCATGCGTCACCCACACCCATTTCGGCACACCCCTCACACGTTTCGTGGCTCCATAGGGAGCTCCACCGAAGGCCCCAGTGCCCGCGCCCGCATGCGTCACCACACCCAATTCGGCACACCCCTCACACGTTCGTGGCTCCATAGGGAGCTCCACCGAAGGCCCCAGTGCCCGCGCCCGCATGCGTCACCCACACCCATTTCGGCACACCCCTCACACGTTTCGTGGCCCCATAGGGAGCTCCGCCGAAGGCCCCAGTGCCCGCGCCCGCATGCGTCAGCCACACCCATTTCGGCACGCCCCTCACGCGTTCCGTGGCCCCATAGGGAGCTCCGCCGAAGGTCCCAGTGGGTGTGCCCGCATGCGTCCCGCACACCCATTTCGGCACACCCCTCACACGTTTCGTGGCCCCATAGGGAGCTCCACCGAAGGCCCCAGTGGGTGTGCCCGCATGCGTCCCGCACACCCATTTCGGCACACCCCTCGTACGTTTCGTGGCCCCGTAGGGGGCTCCACCGAGAAGATATTCACAATTGCAGTATTCACAATTGCATATGGTTGGGTCCTTCGCCAGGATAATTTCTAGCCCTCCTGGAAGGTCAGGGGAGGAGCCGAGCATGCGAGTAGAAACTTGTGGCGCTCCGCGCGGGCTTCTGGGAGTCGCGCTGGACCCCCCTCAGCTGGCGCGTGGAGCGCGCCAGGGGCGGCGCCGGAGGTGCCGCCGGGGGGGGGGCACAGGCGCGGATCCGAGGAATCCGCGCGGAGCGCCCAAAGCTTATGCTGCTGTGGTTTTTGCTTCTTCCAGTCCCAGCGCTGGTGGTCGGGCACGCCGTAACTACGTCCCCCTCGTCCTGCTTGTGCTCGCAATGTCTGGCGCAACTCGATGGAGGATACGGCAGGGCCAGGTGCAGAACCAAGCAGATGAAAAACATTGGCTCAGCGGTCCTATCGCTTCTGCAATTCATCAACTCCCATCTCTCCGTTCCTCATGCTGGGTTGATCAACTTGCGTTTGATCGAGGATACCACAAGCGCCCCTGGCAAAAGGACCCATGCGCCAGAGGGTCACCAAAAAAAACTAGTGTCACTAACAGTGCTAGAGATGGGCCACTTGTTGTCGCGTTGCTGTCGCAGCGTCTCGTGGCGGTGGCATGTGATGGTGCAGCGAGTGACGCGATATTTGCCGATGGTGGCGACAGCGCTTTTTGATTACGAGAGTGAGCTCACCATTCCCAAGAATGGCCGCAGCTGAGAAAATCCACACGCAGCCCATGACATCATGACTCGGAGCTGCCACAGGCACTGCGTCGAGCATCACAGAAAAAGGCGAGCAGCTCCACTGAAATACTCACGCACCCACGCAGATCCATATCAACGACCTGGGGGACAATATACTACGTGGAAAACTCGTGATCCGTCAAGGCGCTGTGCAGCGGGTGGTGCGTGTAGGACACGTTACTTGTTTCTGCTTCTTGCGAAAACGATGACCTGAAGTTCGTGGCGCCCTCATGGCCTGAGCCACCGACACGATCACGGCAAGAGGGCGATGGGAGAAAGATGAGGGGGAGGAGCAGGCGGAGGGGGGAGGGGGGTAGCAGGCGGAGGCAGAGGTGGAGGAGGACGAGGAGGTGGAGAAGGAGGAGGAGGAGGAGGAGGAGGAGGGAGGAATAGGAGGAGGAGGAGGAGGAGGAGGAGGAGGAGGGGGAGGAGAAAGAGGAAGCAACATGGCAAGAGGAGGGGGAGCTGGGCAGAGGCGGAAGAAAACGGGAGAGGCGGGAAGGCGGAGGCGAGAAGGCGACGGGGAGAGGGAGGACCGGGAGCGGACGCCTCGCCATGCCGGGGCGTGAGCACCCCGCGAAGCGCTGGGGAAGGCCGGGATGTCCACATCCCGCACGGGCTGCCGCGCAGTGCCAGGGACCCAGGCCCCCGACGCCGTGGCTTTGTCGCGGCGTCGACCCCCGGAGGTCCGGACCCCTCCCCCAAGGCCGGTGCTTCCTCCCCCAAGGCGGAGGTTTTCGCAAACTTCGGCCCCATAGGGGCCCTTAGCCGGGCCTCGGGGCCGTCAGAAAACGACTCGGGATGAAAATCTGGTGCTGGGGAATGGATCGAGGCTTCTGGGGACCGCGCATTGAAAACATCACGACATCGGATCTCTGGGTTTCTGGACGCTCCCGAGGCCTGGTATATGGGCCCCCGGGGGCCGAGGGTAGCGAAAAACCTCCTGCCGTGATGTTCTGCTCACGACGCGAGGAGGTCTGGGATCATTGCGCAGGGACCGACCCTCCCGGCATTCCTATAGGCCTACCACGAAATTCTCGTAGAACTCAAACGTGCTCCTAAGAACAAAAGCAATGCTCTTAGAATATAAACCCGACGGGATAAAACAAGACAGTCTCAGCCAGGAATGTTCTCAGACCACTTCGTGCAGACCACAAAAGGTTCTTAGAACATGTGTTGGTGGGCCTACTCCAAATCTCTTATTAATCGACCCCCCATAAAAACTGGACCCCCCTCCAAACGACCTAATATTCCAGACCCCCCTCTGCGACGGGGCGCCTCAATAAATCGGACCCCCTAGCTCCGAACCAAAGAAAGCGCCAGAATAAACCGGATCCCCCAATTACAAAAAAGGCGCCCTGAAAAACCGGACCCTGGGTACGAGTAGTAAGGGGTTTTGAGTACAGGAAAGCCAGGACGCTCCGCCACTGCTCGAGGTCTGGGAACGGTGGCCTCAGCTCGCCACCCCCCAGGTCTTCACCGTGCCCCCCGCGTACGTGCTCGGCGCTACCGGGGCGACCGAAGGAGGAGGAGGAGGAGGAGGAGGAGGAGGAGGAGGAGGAGGAGGAGAGAGGGAGGAGGAGGAGGAGGAGGAGGAGGAGGAGGAGGAGGAGGGGGAGGGGGAGGAGGAGGAGGAGGAGGAGGAGGAGCAGGAGGAGGAGGAGGAGGAGTAGGAGGAGAAGGAGGAGGAGGAGGAGAGGAGGAGGAGAGGGAGGAGGAGGGAGGAGGGAGGCCTCTCCGGCGCGCCGGCGCAGGAGCTCGGCCGCCTCCTCCCCCTCCCGCGACGGGCCTGCCGCGGCGGCGGGGTCGCGGGCGAGCACCTGCCACGAGGGGTAGCGCTCCAGCAGCTGCTGGGCCTCCTGGGAGCAGGAGGAGGAGGAGGAGGAGGAGGAGGAGGAGGAGGAGGAGGACTAGGAGGAGAAGGAGGAGGAGAATGATGAGGAGGAGGAGGAGGAGGAGGAGGAGGAGGAGGAGGAGGAGGAGGAGGAGGCAAGGCGAAGCGTAGGCGGACGGGGGGGGGGGGGTTTGGACGACAAAAACACAAATAGTCCGCAGATGCCCCCGAAATGTTCCAAAGATGCTCAACCAAATCATCCTCATACTATTTTTTACATATGTTTGAAGATCCCTCCTGTAGAGGGACAGGCCCGACGTAACCGTAGAGCAGGAGAGAACAAAAAATCCCAGGGAGGATCGCGTGGTCAACAAACATCGGGGCGGGAGGTGTTGGGGCCACGTTCGGCATCGGAGGGCCCTCGCCGGGCCTCGGGGCCGTCAACAAACGACTCAGGATGAAAAGCGGGTCCCTGGGAAAAGGGTCTAGGGGGAAAACAAACCTACCTCGCTTTTGACCACCCTCGCTTCCAAGAGATACCAAACGATGCCAAATTGCAGCCTGTACTGGTCAGGCCGCTTGACGAGGAGGCGTATGGTATGACTTGGTTCTGCCTGGAAAGCGAAAGCGGGGCAGGCAATTCACGCTCTGAGGGTCGGGGCGTCCAGGGAGCGCCCGCATCGAAAAAATCCGGGCGTCGCATGTCTGGGACGACATGCATGAAGGGGCCCTGGGACACACAAATAAATACACACAAATAAAAATATTCCCCATATTTTCCTATATTTTCTGAGTTTTTGTCTTCCCGCCCAATTCCGATATTTTCTCATATTTTCTTGGGAATCGACGATTAATTGTGTCTGTGTGTTTTTTCCCCTCCTGAGACATGCACAGAAACCCTTGGCGCTCCGTGCGGACTTCTCGGACCCGCGCCAGATCCCCCCCCCTCCCCTGGCGGCGCGGGAGGGGGTCCAGCAGCGCCAGGTCCGAGAACCCCGCGCGGACCGCCACGAGAGGGTGCACGTCGTTCGTGTCCAATCGCGCTCCTTTCTAATTTGGACGCCCGAGTTATCCGGGGTAACTCGGGTCCGGGGTAACTCGGGTTTGGGTTCCCGAAAAACGAACCCGAGTTAGCCCTGACCCGAGTTACCCCTGACGATTCGGGGCCCTGGACGCCCGAAATATCCGGGGTAACTCGGGTCCGGGATAACTCGGGTTCGGAATCCCGAAAAACGAACCCGAGTTAGCCCTGACCCGAGTTACCCCTGATGATTCGGGGCTCTGACTAATGCTGCTCGTTTCTAACTGTTCCTGGCCCCCTAGTGGCCAGGAAGAGGCCCAGGATAGCACAAGTAGAAGTGAAAGGGTCTTGGCTCCTCAAGAATCAAGGAGCTTTCGAAGAATTAGAAATGAACCGTGTGCAGGTTTGTGCCGTTGCTTCTTCTCCGGCGCCTGCAGCGTGAGGCGGAAAGGGCCCCGCACGGGGTCGAGGCGCCAGAACACGGCCGGGCCCTCGCCGCCTCGCGGCTGGCGCTGCCACTGCAGGGCCACCCAGTGTCCAGGCGCATCCTCCGTGACCGCCTTCGGCGGCTCGTGGACCAGGATGCCGCGGAGCCGCGGCCCCGGCGGCGCATCGGCGCCTCCGGAGAGCACGGCCGCAACGGCGTCGGCCGAGGCCTCGCACTCCTGTGAGAAGAGAAGAGAGAGAGAGAGAGAGAGAGAGAGAAAGAGAGAGAGAGAGAGAGAAAAAACAAAAAAAATGCGTGAACTGAAAGGCGCGGAAGTCCGCGCGGATTGCATGGATCGGCGCTGGACACCCTCTCCCTGGCGCGCGGCACGCGTCAGGGGCGGCGCCGGTGGCGCCGCCAGTGGGGGAGCCAGCGCCGATCCGAGAAATCCGCGTGGAACTTCGAAAGTGTCTGTGTATGTAGCGTTTCCTTCCTCGGACTCCTTCAGGTCAAAGTCGGTGGCCATCAGGCACCCCTGCACGACTCCAATGACCCGCTCCTGGGGAGACCAGGAGGCACCATTACCGCTGCTGTCCGGGCCTCTCCTGGGGCAGGCTCTGACCAGAATCTGGAGGCGAATCCCGCCGCGGACACGAAGGCCTCCCTGGAGGCCGAGCAACAAAAAGCGAACTCGAGGCAAGGGCAGCGCGGCATCGACGCCTGTCCCGGAGATCCAACGTAGGGGAGAAAATTGCAACATCGCAAAAAATCACGACCAGAACTCCCGACCCCACCATTCTGCGCCATGTTTCGAGTTGGATCGATTTGTGAGGGCCCCAGGGCCCAAAATGGAGCGAAAACGCCGGCTGTTATAAAAAGAGCAGCGTCAGGATCTCAGGGGAAGCCGAGCAACAAACAAATCGAGCTCGAGGCAAGGGCAGCGCGGCATCCCCAAACATGCGACATCCTGATTTGTTCAATACGGGATCCCTGGAAGTCCCGATCCCTTCGTTTCTCATCCCGAGTCGGCTTTTTGACGGCCCCCAGGCCCAGCGAGGGCTCCCAAGGGCAGACACCCAAAAACCTCCCGCCATGCTTTTCCTTTTTCGGCGCGAACAGGTCTGGGATCGATCGGGGGGCCGAACAAACAAACAAAAAACAAGCAACAACTAGCTCGAGGCAGGGGCAGCGCGGCAGCGGTGCCGTTTTTTTGTTTCTCATCCCTCGGTGGCAACTCATGGGAGCCTCCCGCACCATCTTGCCAGCTCTTGCAAACCGACGCTGGTCGACGCTAGATCGACGCTATTTCATCGAATCCCAGACGCTAATCGACTCTATCCCATCGACTCCCAGTCGCTAATCGACGCTCGTCGGCGCTACACCGATGCTAATCGACGCTAAAAAAGCGTTATCCCATCGACTCCCAGACGCTGGATCGACGCTAGTCGACGCTAAAGCAACACTATCCTATCGACTCCCCGACGCGAATCGACGCTAATCGACGCGAGAATCGGGGACACGTAAAACTCGGGTGCAGGGGCCTCGGTTTGGCATGACGGGGCCATCATGAAAATGACGAGACCCGGTCTGAATTTTGATGCAAATTCCCGCTGCCAACATCCCACGAAAACAGGACCGTCAAAATCCAGAACGCGCTCGTTCAAAGACGTCGGTTAATCCCGAGTCCCGGCGCACTCGAGTCTTACCCTGAAGTCTGGATACCTTTGATTTTGATGTTGAATGTTATGTTACTTACGCACGTGGTCTCAACATAGTTTTACGTTATGGTATCAACGCGCGTTACTTTATAACGTATGTTATATGAAACAACGAAATGTTGAAACCAACATGTATAAACTGATGATTGGCTAAACATATAATATAAAGATGGTGTGCTGTTAAACATAACGCATGTCAGCTACACTACTACGCAGAGGTAACCCATAATTCGACGGCTGCGGGCATCTATCAACAAGTTGATGGGTTTGAGCTGCGATGGTCTCGGGTATCGTTGATACACAAAGTTATACACATCATATGAGTACACCCCCCAGCACTCTCATACCCCCCAAGACAATCCAAGAGGGCCCCAGGAGGCTCCCAAGGGAGCCCCAAAGCGGGCCCCAAGCGGTTCCCAAGAGGGTCCCACGAGGCCACCAGGACCGGCCCCGAGACGGCCGAGGCTCTCCAAGGGGGTCGGCGGAGAACGGAAGCTGAATTCGGCACGACGCGCGTTATTTCTGGTTCTCTGGGGGGTCAGCGGCCAACGGACGCTGCATTCGGTAACAGCGAGCAGTGAAGACGTGCGAACGTATTGAGGTTCATGAAACCAACAACGCTCAGGGGGCCCAGACGGGCCACACTGAATCAAACGACTCGTCCGAGGCGGTCGCAGCGGCACATTGTACCTCAAACGGCACCCGAGTGGAGGATAGACGTTCCCGTCTGTCCGACGGGCTCGGAAAGTAAGCTTGCGCGCTCGCACTGGCGCAGGGATTGCATGGCGAGCTCGAGCTAAGTGTGGCTGAGCTGGGGACCAACCTATACACGGTTAGACAAGAAACCTGTGAACTGAACTTCCTGCCGCTTCTAGTTGGAGCGCCTATGCCTAGCAGTGATTGCAGATTCTCTTCGTCCTTCTCATCGTTCCTATGTTTGAAAAAAATACACATCCCACTCATCATATACTCATGAGCCTCGAGACGACCCAGCTCCCGTTGCAACAAACGTTTCCTCTTCCACTCCCTGAAATCATCTTGCAATGGCTATGGAACCCCATCCGTCTACGCATCTGTCACCGCAGTCGAGCAGTCGACCGAATCGCACTCGTCATCCACATCGGCGGTCTGCCCATCGGCATCCCCCCCCCTTCTCCGCAACCTCATCCTTCTTCTCCTCGGATGGCGTAGCCGCTTCATCTTCAGTATCCTCCCCCTTCCCTTTCTCGCCGTGAACCTCCGTCCCCGCGTCCATTTCTACCGCGTCGTCTTCCACGATGCCGCCTTCACATTCGCCCTCGTGTTCTGCCTTGACCCCGTCAACCTCATTTGGTTTGGGTTCTGGCGCCGCATCGCCAGCCTCCCCGGGCGTCTCCCCCATCGCCCTCGCATCGCTTCTGTGGGAACCACGGGGGAAAGTTTCCGAGAGGGCATCGTTCGAACAAGGTGGATACGGATCGATCACAACGCGATCCAAACGCAAGTCCAACGCCAATTTGCACGAATCCCATCGCAATTCCATCGTTGGTCGGCGCAGCTGCATGCCGCGGATGGAGCGCTGGCAGAGAAAGGGTTGCGTAGGCGGAAGCGAAGGCTCGGAGTAGAGATGATCATGTCTCAGCTAGCGCGCCTCGACCAACGATGGACATGCGATTGAATTCACTTTGGCTTGCATTGAGGCCGCCTTGTGCTTCCAACTTGATGTCTTGCCCGATGCTGGCGCGCGACCCCCAGCGCGCGATGGGTTCTGACGAGCGGCGTCGGAAGGGGGAGGGAGGCGAGAAGGGATCATGCTGCTTAGCTGCCACGCATCATCTGCTCGAATCGTGTTTGCACACAGCTCAGGAACACCATGCAACGACGCGCGCGAAGACAACGGCCGCGCAAAACATATCCAGCCGCAAGCAAGTGAAGTCGCGCCAGAGGCGCGCAAGACCGCATGAAACAACATTGAAACCGATTATTGCGCCGCGGACGTGTTCAGGCCAGCAAAGTGCGCAACAATAGCTGCGATCAGGTCACAGAACTCACGGGGGTACTCTTAAGACTTCCTCATATGCTGCTTATCACCGTTAACGCACGCAGTGGCGGGCCACCCCTTGATGCCAGATGTGGGCGCGCGTTTCGGCGTGGTGCCGTAAAGACGCTCTTGGCCTTTGTCCGACGATAAACGCGCGGCCGACATGGCGCGCACGAGGCACCTCATCATGCAACCATCCAGAAGCAGCCCATTGAAAAACTCCGCGGGCTTAATGGCATCCGCGCTGAAGGCCCCGAGGCGCGTCGCGATGCGAAAGGCGGCGATGCCCATCATCGCCGATGTGATGATGCCGTGACGGTGAAACATTGAATGCAGCGGCTGCTCAATGAAAACGTACACGCCACGAGCGTGCGCCACCACAGGTATGCATGACCTGCGTTGGTCACCAATGGTTTCCAACACTAATTGAAGTGGAGGAGGAAGGGGATGATGAGAAGGGGGAGACGGAGGAGAAGGAGCGAACGTCCACTTGCGGACGAGGTGCTTCATGCGCGGCCGCGCACGGGGGGGCCGCCGAACGGGCTGGAGCCGAGCCTCAGAGCGAAGCGGGCGGCCTTCACCACGTTGATGTGACTGTTGTAGCTGATGGGGTCCACGGCGGCGCCGAGGGAGATCATGTCCTGGATGCTGTGGTACACGCGGTAGGCGACGGCCAACCGCGCCAGCACGTGGTCGATGTAGTTGTCAGTGTCGCCGTCGACGGCGAAGTTGACGTCGCGAAGTCCCAGGCGGGCGAGAACACATTGATGAAGGCGACCCCGTGGCAGAGATAAAGTTCTTAGCCGTGTAGCGCACGGCGGGACGCCAAGCTTCCAAAGAACAAGCTGGTCGGAGTTGTATCTGGTCGGAGTTGTCGGGCTGGTCTGGTTTGAGCCTGGTGCTGAAGCTTTAGCTAAAGCTTTAGCTTAGGATTCGGGCGAGAGTGGTTTAGGGGCGGTCCCGGAATGCATTTTCAACAGCGACGACCGAATTGCAGTTTTTTTTGCATTGCAGTTTTTTTTGCATCTGGTCTGGCTGGTCTGGTTGGAGCCTTGTGCTGAAGCTTTAGCTTAGGATTCGGGCGAGAGTGGTTTAGGGGAGGTCCAGGGATGCATCTTCAACGACGACGACCGAAAAGCAGTTTTTTTTGCATTGCAGTTTTTTTTGCATTGCAGTTTTTTTTGCATCTGGTCTGGCTGGTCTGGTTGGAGCCTTGTGCTGAAGCTTTAGCTTAGGATTCGGGCGAGAGTGGTTTAGGGGAGGTCCAGGGATGCATCTTCAACGACGACGACCGAAAAGCAGTTTTTTTTGCATTGCAGTTTTTTTTGCATTGCAGTTTTTTTTGCATCTGGTCTGGCTGGTCTGGTTGGTCTGGTCTGAGCCTGGTGCTGAGGCTTTAGCTTAGGATTCAGGCGAGAGTGGTTTAGGGGAGGTCCAGGGAGGCAGCGCCAACGACTCCGACCGAAAAGCAGTTTTTTTTGCATTGCAGTTTTTTTTGCATTGCAGTTTTTTTTGCATCTGGTCTGGCTGGTCTGGTTGGTCTGCTCTGAGCCTGGTGCTGAGGCTTTAGCTTAGAGTTCAGGCGAGAGTGGTTTAGGGGAGGTCCAGGGAGGCAGCGCCAACGACTCCGACCGAAAAGCAGTTTTTTTTGCATTGCAGTTTTTTTTTTTGCATTGCCGTTTTTTTTTGCATTGCAGTTTTTTTGGCATCTGGTCTGGCTGGTCTGGTTGGTCTGGTCTGAGCCTGGTGCTGAGGCTTTAGCTTAGGATTCAGGCGAGAGTGGTTTAGGGGAGGTCCAGGGAGGCAGCGCCAACGACTCCGACCGAACAGCAGTTTTTTTTGCATTGCAGTTTTTTTTGCATTGCAGTTTTTTTTTGCATTGCAGTTTTTTTTTGCATCTGGTCTGGCTGGTCTGGTTGGTCTGGTCTGAGCCTGGTGCTGAGGCTTTAGCTTAGGATTCAGGCGAGAGTGGTTTAGGGGAGGTCCAGGGAGGCAGCGCCAACGACTCCGACCGAAAAGCATTGATTTAAGGGAGCGGCTTTCGGCGAGATTGATTTAAGGAGGGTTTCGAGGAGGGTTGGTCTCGTTGGTCTGGCTTGGTCTGGTCTGGTTGGTCTGGTTGGTCTGGTTTGTATTGGTCTCTTGTTGGTCTGGTTGGTCTGGTTGCTTTGACTTTCTTGGTCTTGGCCTGGTTGGTCTGTCTGGTCTTTTGGTATCTCTGGTCCAAGCTTGGTCTCGTTGGTTTGGCTGAAAAGGTAGACTTGGCTAGAAGAGTGAGGTCGGTCCGTAGCCATTTTGGCGCAAGCGGGAGCCCGCGTGGGCATTGGGGTTAGCTGCATGGCAGCGCGCACGGGCCCGTGCCAGAACCCAGACTGCAAACACCCGCACAAAACAGCAAAACGTTATGCCGGCAAACCGCACGAGTGCGACCGCTGGGACAAACACAAAAACACAGGTCATGTGTTGTGCCACGAATGTTATCAATCGTGCGCGACCAAAGTGGCTACCGTGTTTATGGGTATCCGTATTCTTTCAGAGAGTGCAGATTACAACGGGATTTTAGATTTATGCGACTCGGTTGCCAGTGACAGCAACTTGCACATTTTAACAGATAGCGAGGTTATCATGGATATCAAGCCAGTGGCGCCTTGGGCAAATGGCAATTGTGCACGGACACATATGCACACATGAAGCGTAAGTCCCTTAACATTTGGGAGGGCACGTATGCCTACATTTTTTCCGCGTATGAAGAGTTGGGACAATGGGATATGATCGAGCCGCTCAGGCGACGAGGCGAAGAAGAAACGCGCTGCCGACGCGCGAAAGAGGTCTTTGGCGGCGGCGGCGAAAGCGAAAAAGGCGGAGGCAGAGAAGAAACTCGCAGAGGCCAAGATGACAGAGGAGCAGGAGGCAGAGGCAAAGAAGGCAGAGCACGTGGCCAAGCTGCGCAGGAAGTCCGCGGCGAAGAGAGAGGAGGAAGCGATGAAGGCGAAGGAGAAAGAGGCGCGGGATGCCGCAGAGGCAGTTGCCAAGGAAGCTGCGGAGACGCGTCTGACTGAACTCACGCTGAAAGAGGAGCGCGAGGGAGAGCTGGCCCCCTTCGAGTACGACGAGATGGTGGCGATTCTCGAGGACAAGTGGCAGCCGCCACAGAACGGCGGGGGAGGCGCCTGCGCCGCGGACGAGGTAGCCGAGTCGGACCTCCAGGGCGAGACCAAGGGCAAGGGCGCAGGAAGCAAGGGAGGCAAGTTCGAGAGCAAGACCGGCGGCAAGGGTGGGCTCGCCGGAGATGACACGGAGGGCAAGAAGGGCGGCGCCAAGGGGAGCAAGGGCGGCGGCGACGCTGCGACGGGCAAAGGCGGCGGCGGGGGCAAGGGCGAGGCCGCCGGCAGCGCGAAGGGCAAGGCCGCCAGCAAGACGACCAGCAAGGGCGACGGTGGAAGCAGGGGCACGGGCAAGGGACAGTCGAAGGGCAAGTCGGGCAAGAGCGCCGCCGCAGTGAAGAGCACCCTCGACGAGCAGGCGACCGCCGCGCATGGGAAAATGGCGGTCGACATCTGGGACATGGACGCCTGCACATTCGAGGACATCACTCGGGCGCAGTTTCGGCCCCAGGGGCGCCGGTCCTGGGCTGTGGTCGGCGTTCTGGACGGAACGACGGGGCGCAAGGAGTTCGCTGGCGCGCGCGAGGGCTGGCGACTGATGTGCAAGCTGCGCGACGAGCACGACCAGGTGATCTGCATCGTAGCTTTCACGGAGAGCATCCTTTGGGTCGAGCAGCAAGCGGCCACGTTCAAAGACGAGATCGTCCGCATCGGGCCGCTGAATCGGAAGGAGAATTCCTTCACCGGAAGGATGGACTTGCACTTCATCGACCAGACGCAGATCGTGGCCACCAGCGAGCTGACCAACCCGATCAAGCGGTTCCCTGCCCTCTGCAGCGGGCGGCCGTCGCAGACGCTGTGGGAGTCCGAGAACTACGCGCGCATCAAAGCCGAGATCGTGCAGGTGACCGACACGGACGTCGACCTGTGGGTCGAGGGCGACACCGAGGCCGCCAGGTTCCAGGTCTACGGGCTGCACCCGACGCTCACCGAGGCCAGCGTTGGCGACGCCGTCTGGGTTGAGGTGTACCCGCAATCAGGCGGCGGACAGAAGATCTCCGAGAACAGCATCGTCCGCTTTGCCCCGGCGGCCGCGTAGGAAGATGAGTGCCGCGTTGGATTGTGATTGCCATGCCGGCAGGTGGAAGGAGGGGGAAGTGGCCGCATAGGAATATGATTGCCATGGCGTTGGGTAGAAGGAGGGGGAGGAGGAAGAGCATCACCATCTCTGACGATTCCAGACTGGCGCCGTCTGGGGGGGTACGTGGTCACGCATGGACCCCCAGCGCGGCGCTGCTCGGCGATGGAGCTTACTTAGCTGTACTCCACAACGGCCCAGGTCGAGAAAAAACGCGGCCGCTCCTCGATCCTGGTCTTGTTACTCTGGTCGTGTTAGTCTGGTCTGGTCTGGCTGGTCTCGCGTCGACTGGTTGGTCGAGTAGTTCACCTCGTTGGTCTGGTTCGTCTGGTGTGGTACGTCCGATTGGTTCGGTTTGTCTGGTTCGGGTTGCTTTATCGGTCTGGTTCGCCAGGCTGGTCTAATTGGTCTGGCTGGTCTGGTCGGTCTGGTTGGTCTAGCTGGTCTGCTTGGTCTGGCTGTTTTTTTGCTCGTTGGTCTCGTTGGTCTAGCTGGTTTCGTCTGGTTGGTCTCATTGATTGGTCTGGCTGGTTGATTGGTCTGGCTGGTCTGGCTGGTCTGGTCTGCTCTGGATGGACTGGTTGGTCTGGCTGGTCTGGTCTGGTTTGGTCTGCCTGACCGGATCGACTGGTCAAGCTGGTCTGCTTGGTCTGGCTGGTATGTTTTTTCTCGTTGGTCTCGTTGGTCTGGTTGGTCTTGTCTGGTCTGCTCTGGCTGGTCTCGTTGGTCTGGTTGGTCTGTCGCGTTGGTCTGGCTGGTCGGGTTCGTCTGGGTGGTCTGGTCTGGTTGATTGGTCTGGCTGGTCTGGCTGGTCTGGTCTGCTCTGGATGGACTGGTTGGTCTGGCTGGTCTGGTCTGGTTTGGTCTGCCTGACCGGATCGACTGGCCAAGCTGGTCTGGTTGCCTGGTCTACTTGTTCTGCTGTCTGCTTAGTCTAGCTGGTGTGGTTGGTCTGGTTGGTCTGGCTGGTCTGCTTCGTTTGGTTGGTCTGGTTAGTCTGGCTGGTCTGGTCTTGTTGGTCTGGTTGGTTGGTCTGGCTGGTCCGGCCCGTCAAGCTGGTCTGGTTGGGGTTGGTCTGGCTGGTGTAGCTGGTCTAGCTGGTCTTGTCTGGCTGGTCTGTTTGGTCTGGCTGGTCTGGTCTGGTCTGTCTGGCCTGATCGGTTGGTCTACAGGTCTGGTCTCATTGATTGGTCTGCCTGGTCTGCTTGGTCTGGCTGGTCTGCTTCGTCTACTTCCTTTAATTGGTTTGGTTGGTTGGCCCGGTTAGTCTGGCGCGTTCGGTTCTGGCTGGTATGCTTGGTCTGGCTGGTCTGATTGGTCTGGTTGGTCTGGCTGGTCTGGTTCGTCTGGTTCGTCTGGTTCGTCAGGTTGGTTGGCCGGGTCGCGTCGCGCCGTCGTCCTCGTCCCCACCCTCGATTTTCTCGTCGTCGTCGTCGTGGTCAGCGTCGTCGTCGTCGTCGTCGACGTCGTCGTCGTCTTGCCATTTGCGTCGCCGCAACCGGGCGCGGGACCGAAAGCGCTGAAACGTCGAGCCCCACTGCGGCGGAATTGAGGTGGCGGAGAGGAACATCAGCAGCCATATCAGTTCTTATGCCCCAAAGCAAGGTAAGGCGCTGGGGCATAAGAACTTTGCGCCTCGAGCGGCTCAGAATAAATGATGCCACATGCGCTTGCAGATCAAGTAGTGGGCGAACGCGTCTGGGTTGTGCACGGGGTCGCAGCCAAAGACGCAGCTGCGGCGAACTGGCCGTACATGAAGACGATGCGATGTGGCCCACCCACCCGCCAAGGTTATCATCGCTGGCCAGAAACTAGAAGGCGGTAGTTGTGCAACATGAGGTCGTAGCCGACGCCATGAGCTCCGCATGGAAAACGGACGGAGGAGAAGGAGGAGGAGGAGGAGGATGTAGGACAGTGGAAGGCTGCGACGGATTCAAACGCGCTGCCAATCATGCCAAACGCTTGGGGAACTGGTCATCCTGTACCTCGGTGGGTTGGGGTGGTCATAGGGGGTATCTGGGGGGTTGGCCATTTGGGCCTTCTCGGTGGCCCTCTGGGGAGCTTCTTGAGGACCCTTGCGGGGTGCCTCGTGGTGCCTCTTGGGCACCAGTGGGTGGCGATACATGCATGCGCGTCGCTCCGCGCTGCGGTTGACGCGGGTCAGTGGCAGCCCCGCGCGAGGGCGAGGGCGTCGACGAGGAAGGGCAGGGTTGGAACCAGGGCCATGCTAAGGGCATGTTGGAAGTGGGTGGCGATCAGGGCTACGAAGGCGATGGGCAATGAAGAGAAGAGCAAGAAGTTGAGGGGGCGAAGGCGAGGGAGAGCAGCTAGGAGAGCAGCGGCTTGGAGCACGAGACTGGATACGAAAGGGGGAAAAGATGTAATGGGGGGAGATGTTGCGCCGCATTGCCACCACCCTGGACACAAACGCAGCCACGTGGTTGGCCTCGGCCACGTCGAGCCTGGAGGTGTCACCCACGGTGTCAGCCGAGGATATCATCATTGGACACCACCCGCGGCCCCAAGCGCGCGGCCCCCCCCCCTCCCATCGCGTGCCCGAACCTTGCCGCCGTCCAGTTGGAAGGGGAAGGGGGCCACCCATCGTTCCCGCGCCTTCCCCCGCCCCCCCTCCCCGTCCAAATAGACAAAGCCCGAAAGACATCCGCCCGCCCATTTTACTTCCGCGCGCTTCCACTGGCCTTCCGCCGTCCCCGTTCTGCCCCGACCATGTTCCACAATGTATATGATGTGGGCATTCCAATATATCCTTCCATGGGCCCCCTCACACGGCCCAAGAGCCCCCCGCGAGCGCCCCCAGACGGCCCAACAGGAGCCCCAAGACGACCGGAGAGGCCACCAAGACGGCCCGTAGCGGCCCCAAGAGGGCCCCGGGAGGGGGGGCTCGAACTGACTTGGGGTTGTTCCCCGTCCTTGTGTGGCTGCGCGATATGTTCAGCCACGTAGAGCACTGCGGGCTGATCAAAAATACAATCACCTGACAGCATTGCTGCAACCAACCACAATGCGTAAAGCATGCCGTCCGGTCTGCATCCGCACTGAGTGACGTGGCGAACCCGATCGAAAGAATATGCAAAGGCGCCATGCGAATCCCGCATGATGCTCACGGTTGCGCATTCTCCCGGAAACAATTCAACGAAGTGTGCCGACCTGGGGATTGTATGCATAGCGGCTGCGAAGTCAGCAGCAGCTCCCAAAATCATGCCAGCACTGTCGGACGCATCTGCAAGCTCAAGCTTCATGCCCAACTCATCGATCATTTCGCTGGCACCGATGATGGGCCATGCCAGCGCATCCGCGCACGGCGGCGGGGGCGCTGAAGTTGACTGGCGGACACGCACCAATGCCACAACCAATGCCCAGAAACCAACGATCCACATGGTTTGGGTGGGATGCACGGTGACAGCTACAAGCGGGAAGCCAACTCAATCAACGACCACACTCGCCGCTCAAACATGCTACGGTGTGCGTACTTGGCCATATCTCTCAACACAGTGTTGAGCGTTTCATCTGTGAGCGTGTTGTATGCTTTCAGGCCCCCGTGCCAATTCACCCTGGACATGTTTATTGAACAGGGCAAGAATATTACTACTCCCAGCTGTGCAGCGATGTCACGACAGATCGTGCTACCAGGCAGTGCGCTCCTTCAAGTTCATGCAAAACTAGAAATTAACGAGAGTAGACCTCAGGCTACGTCTTCCCGATGAAGATTGCGAGGGTATACACCCAGACATGCGACGTCCTGTTATTTTCAATACGGGGTTCCTGGAAATCCCGACTCTCTCCCCAGGACTGGTTCTTCGTCAGGACTGGCTCTTCCTCCTGAGCCGTCTTTCTCACGGCCCCGACGCCCGGCGAGGGCCCCCCGAGGCCGAAAGCGGCCAAAAACCTCCCGCCCTGATTCTTCCAACGACGCAAACATCTCGCAAAGGGAGGAGGACAAGGAGGAGGAGGAGGAGGAGGAGGAGAAGGAGGAGGAGGAGGAGGAGGAGCAGGAGGAGGAGGAGGAGATGTCTGGGCAAGGCTCCCGCGCTTTGCCGCCGAAGCCCCCCCCCTCCGACCGGAGCGCTCCGCGGCCCAGGCGCCCTGCTGCTGCGCCCGCGACACGGGCAGCGGCGGGATGGCGTGGCTGCGCGCCGACAGCGACAGCGCGCGCCGCAGGCTCTGCGCCTCGAGCGGGGGATCGTCCACAGATTGGGGCGACCACTGTCCACCTCCTCCTCATCCAACTCCTCCTCCTCCTCCTCCTCCTCCCCTTCCTCCTCCTCCTCCTCCTCCTCCTCCTCCTCCCTCCTCCTCCTCCTCCCCCTCCCCCTCTCTTCCGCCTCCTCCTCCTCCTCGTCCTCCTACCTCCCCCTCCTCCCCCATGCCAGGTCCCCCACCCCCCCCTGCCTCCCCCTCCTCCTCCGCCTCCTGCTCACTCCTCTCCTCCTCCTCCTTCCTCCTCCTCCTCCTCCTCCTCCTCCTCCTCCTCATTCTCCTCCTCCTCGTCCTCGATGGGTACAATGCCCAGCAACAGTTCCTGTTCATTTTGGGCAGGACTCGCTGTCCGCACCGCCGCGGCCTGCGTCCATTTAAGATTATGCTGCGCCCATCGTACTTAAGGACTACATCCCAAAAGTAATCTCGAGCACCCAGAAGAGTGTCGAAAGGGTGTCGAAACGGTGTCGAAACTGTGTCTCCCAGGGCCGAACACGTGAACACCCTCGAGGTTCGGCACTTTTTTTGTCTCGTGCTCGAAATTCTTTCTGGTGGTCAAGGCTAGAGTTTGTTGGAACATCACAACGGCACAATGCCCAACAACAGTCCCTGCGCATGTTGGACAGGACTCGCTGTCCGCGCCGCCGCGGCCGGTGTCCATGCAAGACAGAGGGCCGTCTGCCCAGCAGCGGCCTCTGTTGGTTTGGGACAACATTTGTTGTTCGGCACTGTGCCCCTCTTTGTCCGTGCCCGTTGCGGGCGTCCAGAAGACAGAAATGGCTTGCCCCAGAAAATCAAACATGATCGCGTCGCACAAACAAAAAAACAGGACGGGAGGTTCTTGGCCGTTTTCGGCCACGGGGCCGTCAACAAAACCACTCCAGATGAGCAACTGGTCTGGTCCCGGGGAAAGGGTCGGGACTTCCAGGGACCCCGTACTGAAAATAACAGGACGTCGCATGTCTTGGGGGGATCGTCTGCAGAACTGGTGCACTGGTGCACCCCAGAATTTTGGCTTTCGCGCCGAATCTGCGAACAAGTCTGAGATCCTGGCGATGCGATTTCTTTGCTACGGGCGTTTTCGCTCCATTTCGGGCCCCTGGAACCCGCGCAGATCGATCGGGCTCGAAAAATGAAGCGGGAAAATGGGGTCTAGGGCTCTGGGCTCTGAGCCTCAAGCGGGGGATCGTCTACAGAACTGGTTTGCCCTTTATGATGTTCCAGCGTACCTTAGCCTCGACCACCATAAGGAACTTCGAGCGCCAAGAAAGTCTCGACACTGGACGGTTTACCTGGGAGGCGATACGCGTGACGATCGAAACCCAGACCCCTTCACGTTGTGAAAAACACGACGGGAGGTTTTTCAAGATTTTCGGCCTCCAGGGGCCCTTACCGGGCCTCGGGAGCGTCCAAAAACGACTCAATGAAAAACTAGTCCCAGGGAAAGGGGTCCAGACCTCTGGGGGTTGACATTGTGGAAAAAACAGGGCGATCGCAACCTGGAACCGCTCTTGCGTCGTGGCGCCGATGCGCCGATAAACCAATAATAAATATCGGAGGATCGGTGCCGATGTGCCGATATGGTATATCGGCGCCTCTGGGCCGATACGTCGATACACCGATATGATAGACCGGCGCCAGTGAGCAGGTATGCCGATATGGAAGCCCAACTCATACCGGCATATCGGCGCAGGGAAGGCCGATATGGAAGCCCAACTCATATCGGCATATCGGCATATCGGCGCAGGGAGGTCGACACGCCAACCCAATTCATATCGGCAGATCGGTGTATCGGCATATCGGAACAGGAAGCGCCGATGGCGTCGAAACGGCCGCCGACCCAATCCCCGCCGGCGTATCGGCATACCGGCTGGTGGGCAGGTGCATCAGCGTATCGGCATATCGGCAGGACTGGAGGGACCAGGGGGGAAACAACCGCGCGCAGCGCAAAGAACACAAAACGACACTCCAGGTCAAAGGCAGTTGCCAAGGAAGCTGCGGAGACGCGTCTGACTGAACTCACGCTGAAAGAGGAGCGCGAGGGAGAGCTGGCCCCCTTCGAGTACGACGAGATGGTGGCGATTCTCGAGGACAAGTGGCAGCCGCCACAGAACGGCGGGGGAGGCGCCTGCGCCGCGGACGAGGTAGCCGAGTCGGACCTCCAGGGCGAGACCAAGGGCAAGGGCGCAGGAAGCAAGGGAGGCAAGTTCGAGAGCAAGACCGGCGGCAAGGGTGGGCTCGCCGGAGATGACACGGAGGGCAAGAAGGGCGGCGCCAAGGGGAGCAAGGGCGGCGGCGACGCTGCGACGGGCAAAGGCGGCGGCGGGGGCAAGGGCGAGGCCGCCGGCAGCGCGAAGGGCAAGGCCGCCAGCAAGACGACCAGCAAGGGCGACGGTGGAAGCAGGGGCACGGGCAAGGGACAGTCGAAGGGCAAGTCGGGCAAGAGCGCCGCCGCAGTGAAGAGCACCCTCGACGAGCAGGCGACCGCCGCGCATGGGAAAATGGCGGTCGACATCTGGGACATGGACGCCTGCACATTCGAGGACATCACTCGGGCGCAGTTTCGGCCCCAGGGGCGCCGGTCCTGGGCTGTGGTCGGCGTTCTGGACGGAACGACGGGGCGCAAGGAGTTCGCTGGCGCGCGCGAGGGCTGGCGACTGATGTGCAAGCTGCGCGACGAGCACGACCAGGTGATCTGCATCGTAGCTTTCACGGAGAGCATCCTTTGGGTCGAGCAGCAAGCGGCCACGTTCAAAGACGAGATCGTCCGCATCGGGCCGCTGAATCGGAAGGAGAATTCCTTCACCGGAAGGATGGACTTGCACTTCATCGACCAGACGCAGATCGTGGCCACCAGCGAGCTGACCAACCCGATCAAGCGGTTCCCTGCCCTCTGCAGCGGGCGGCCGTCGCAGACGCTGTGGGAGTCCGAGAACTACGCGCGCATCAAAGCCGAGATCGTGCAGGTGACCGACACGGACGTCGACCTGTGGGTCGAGGGCGACACCGAGGCCGCCAGGTTCCAGGTCTACGGGCTGCACCCGACGCTCACCGAGGCCAGCGTTGGCGACGCCGTCTGGGTTGAGGTGTACCCGCAATCAGGCGGCGGACAGAAGATCTCCGAGAACAGCATCGTCCGCTTTGCCCCGGCGGCCGCGTAGGAAGATGAGTGCCGCGTTGGATTGTGATTGCCATGCCGGCAGGTGGAAGGAGGGGGAAGTGGCCGCATAGGAATATGATTGCCATGGCGTTGGGTAGAAGGAGGGGGAGGAGGAAGAGCATCACCATCTCTGACGATTCCAGACTGGCGCCGTCTGGGGGGGTACGTGGTCACGCATGGACCCCCAGCGCGGCGCTGCTCGGCGATGGAGCTTACTTAGCTGTACTCCACAACGGCCCAGGTCGAGAAAAAACGCGGCCGCTCCTCGATCCTGGTCTTGTTACTCTGGTCGTGTTAGTCTGGTCTGGTCTGGCTGGTCTCGCGTCGACTGGTTGGTCGAGTAGTTCACCTCGTTGGTCTGGTTCGTCTGGTGAGGTACGTCCGATTGGTTCGGTTTGTCTGGTTCGGGTTGCTTTATCGGTCTGGTTCGCCAGGCTGGTCTAATTGGTCTGGCTGGTCTGGTCGGTCTGGTTGGTCTAGCTGGTCTGCTTGGTCTGGCTGTTTTTTTGCTCGTTGGTCTCGTTGGTCTAGCTGGTTTCGTCTGGTTGGTCTCATTGTTTGGTCTGGCTGGTTGATTGGTCTGGCTGGTCTGGCTGGTCTGGTCTGCTCTGGATGGACTGGTTGGTCTGGCTGGTCTGGTCTGGTTTGGTCTGCCTGACCGGATCGACTGGTCAAGCTGGTCTGCTTGGTCTGGCTGGTATGTTTTTTCTCGGTGGTCTCGTTGGTCTGGTTGGTCTTGTCTGGTCTGCTCTGGCTGGTCTCGTTGGTCTGGTTGGTCTGTCGCGTTGGTCTGGCTGGTCGGGTTCGTCTGGGTGGTATGGTCTGGTTGATTGGTCTGGCTGGTCTGGCTGGTCTGGTCTGCTCTGGATGGACTGGTTGGTCTGGCTGGTCTGGTCTGGTTTGGTCTGCCTGACCGGATCGACTGGCCAAGCTGGTCTGGTTGCTTGGTCTATTTGTTCTGCTGTCTGCTTAGTCTAGCTGGTGTGGTTGGTCTGGTTGGTCTGGCTGGTCTGCTTCGTTTGGTTGGTCTGGTTAGTCTGGCTGGTCTGGTCTTGTTGGTCTGGTTGGTTGGTCTGGCTGGTCCGGCCCGTCAAGCTGGTCTGGTTGGGGTTGGTCTGGCTGGTGTAGCTGGTCTAGCTGGTCTTGTCTGGCTGGTGTGTTTGGTCTGGCTGGTCTGGTCTGGTCTGTCTGGCCTGATCGGTTGGTCTACAGGTCTGGTCTCATTGATTGGTCTGCCTGGTCTGCTTGGTCTGGCTGGTCTGCTTCGTCTACTTCCTTTAATTGGTTTGGTTGGTTGGCCCGGTTAGTCTGGCGCGTTCGGTTCTGGCTGGTATGCTTGGTCTGGCTGGTCTGATTGGTCTGGTTGGTCTGGCTGGTCTGGTTCGTCTGGTTCGTCAGGTTGGTTGGCCGGGTCGCGTCGCGCCGTCGTCCTCGTCCCCACCCTCGATTTTCTCGTCGTCGTCGTCGTGGTCAGCGTCGTCGTCGTCGTCGTCGACGTCGTCGTCGTCTTGCCATTTGCGTCGCCGCAACCGGGCGCGGGACCGAAAGCGCTGAAACGTCGAGCCCCACTGCGGCGGAATTGAGGTGGCGGAGAGGAACATCAGCAGCCATATCAGTTCTTATGCCCCAAAGCAAGGTAAGGCGCTGGGGCATAAGAACTTTGCGCCTCGAGCGGCTCAGAATAAATGATGCCACATGCGCTTGCAGATCAAGTAGTGGGCGAACGCGTCTGGGTTGTGCACGGGGTCGCAGCCAAAGACGCAGCTGCGGCGAACTGGCCGTACATGAAGACGATGCGATGTGGCCCACC